TTACAGATGAACCTAAGGCTTTGAGAGCCCAAGTTCACACCGTTAGAAGTGGTAGTTCTGTCTGCCTCCTTTCTTATGGTACTTTCTGTTAGCAGGCTCTTTGCTACTGAAAGGGCTCGGAATGAGAGAGGGACCATGGCAGGTAACTGCTGTCATGATGGACTGAACAACGTGGAACGCAATCTCCCCCAGGGAACCCAGAAAGCTTGGGAAGAGCAGTTGAAGAGGAATGAGCAATACTTAAATTCTCTTTACTTTCAGTAAAGAGGGTCATTTCCTTCTCTTCAATTGCTCTTCCCGAGTCCTGAGAGCAGTCCCTGCTGCTCCTGTCAACTACTGAAACCTGCTGTGGGGGAAATTATGCAAAGAAAGACATCACAAGTTCTTTTCCTTGAAACTGAGGGGTAGGGAGAGGAAAAAAGGAGAGGAATTTCCAATGGAGAAGAAAACTTATAAACACAGTAACAATGGAATAATGCCTGCAAATAAATAATATCTGTGTCAAAAGACAAATTAAAGACCACAACAAAAAATGGGGCAGATAGAATAAATTAATATATGCATTTTTTCCAAATCTGATGCCAAAAAAATCCACCTTTTTCCCTTAAAAGTAAACTATAATTTACTCTACTAAACCATAGTAGTTATTAAAATCTTAAAATCAACACTGAAATACAGCCAATTACTATTACTGGCATGTGACTCCTATACCAAGAGACACTATTTTCCTTTCAAAGGAAAGAAAAAGTCAAATACATGTAACACAACAATTTTCTTGCTTTTAAAAATGAGAAATGTAAAATATTACGTTCACTGGTCTTGGAAATCAAGAACAAGGAATCCAAAATTCTGTAAGTATAAAATAATAATAATTACTGTATGGGTATCTTCTAGAATACTACTTAGCAATAAAAAGAAATGGACTACAGATAAATACAACAATATGGACAAATCCCAAAGCCATTATGCTAAGAGAAAGGAGCCTTACAAAAAAGAATACAGTTTATACTATATGATTCCATTTATATAAATTTTAGAAGTGAAAAAAAAATGAATCTACGGTGGGAAAAAAAATCAGAACAATGGTTGCCACAAGGTGTAGGGGACAGGGATTGACAGTGAAGGGACATGAGGGAAACATGAGGGATGGCAGCGTGCTCTGTCTTGCTAGGAGTCTGGGTTACACAGGTGCATGCATCTGACAAGACTCAGTGAACATACACTTAAGATTTGTATATTTTGTTGTATGTAAATTTCACAGTAAAGGAAAAAACAATATAAACAAATCTTGAACTCTCAATACTGACATGCACGTTCAGGTATTTAGGTGGCAGTATACTGATAGCGACAAATTACTTTGAAATGCATCAAAAAGGAAGACTGACAGAAGGACGGACAGGTAGATAGATACATGATGAAGCAACAGAGTAAAACCTAGAATCCAAGTAGTAGGTAGGAAGGTGTTTGCTGTAAAATTCTTTCAAGTTTGCTGTATGTTTGAAAATTTTCATAGAATGCAGGAAAAATAAACGTACTCATTTATATATGGCAAATAGGTAAGGAAGCTAAAAAAAAAAAGGAGGAAAAGTGAAAGGCCGAGTGAAAGGGAAAGGAGAGCAGAAGAGAGAACGGGAGGAGGGGAGTCAGACGAGAATGTGAGCAAAGGCCCACGAGAAGCACTGAGAACACGAAGGAACGACCAAGAGCCCCCAGGAGGTTCCGAAATAAGGGCCTTTGTCCCTGGGCCGTGTGTTCAGTTTTCACCACTAGTTTCTACTAAATGCTAATAAATTTGTTCTGTCTATTTAATAAAAGAGCTTTATTCCATCTGAGCAGTTAAAAATGAAATGGGAACATAACAGGACCGTTCTAATAAAGCCTTATGAAAGGCATTTAAAGGGTAGTGTCATTTAATAAATGCAGCAGAACTCATATATTGAAGTGAGCATTGCTCTTCAAAGTCATCGGCAGCAAAGAAAGCACATGGGATTTAGAGGATCATTAACCTCGGTCCAAATCCCAGTTTCACCAATAAGCAGCCATATGACCGTAGATAAGTTACTATTTCTCTGAGCCTCAATTTCCTTACGTATATATGGAAATCATATTACCTCTCTCACAGGTCTATTTTGAGGAGTAAATGAGACCATATATGTACAGGGAAATGACTAGCCTAGCACCAGGTATGGAGTAATTATTAAATACATGTTGTTTTTCTTTCCTCTTACTCTAAAAATGCCACGATTGCTTACTATCGCTTTGTGACACATTTTTTGAGCTGCTGCCCAGGTGAAGAAGAGCAGAAGGGTTCCGAGGGAGGGAAGAACACAAGCAAAGGGAGACAGAGGGACAACAGGCAACAGGTCTTTTTCTAGATACTTCTGGAACATAAGGGTAGAATTCAAGGCTTATGGAGGGAAGGTGAAAAGGAATCAGAACCAGGCTGGAGAGGAAGACAGGGCAGGATCACGAAGGGCCTCTTAAACCAGGCTAAGGATCGGGTCTTCTTCCTCTAGGCACTGAGAGGCATTTACAGGTTGTCAGTAGGAGAGTGACATCATCAGAGTTCTCTTTTAGAAAGAAAATTCTGCCGGCCGACTGTATTGTACAGGCAGCACAATTAAACAAATTAAACAAAAAGTTCTCTGCGTTTGCGTGAGCCTCCTTCCCTAATGTGCATCCACATTACATATTAACCGGAGGACAGGATGCCTGCTCAACCAGAAAGATCATTTTTTGTCTTTCTTCTGATGCTAGCAATGTAAGTTCTTAAAAGCATCGTGTTTTTCCCCAGCTCTGTAGGGGGTCACAGTGACTTGCTGCTCACTTTGTACGTGCTCACCTGGACTACGTACCCTTGGCGAACTTTATGTAAAATGTCAGTATGTCATTTTGATATACGATCCTTTGTCTCAAAATGTATATGACTATGTACACATACAGGCGGAACAGTTCTAAGAGCTTTAGAGCTTTCTAAGAATCTGCTTCCTGGATTATAATCCTCGATTTGGCTCGAATGAAATTCTGTTTTTTCTTAACTTGATAGTTAATTGAATTTTTGTCAACACAACACAAATATCCACCAGCAGATAAATGGATAAGGAAAATTTGATATATACATACAATGGAATATGATTTAGCCGTAATAAAGGAAATTCTGACATTTGCTACAACATCAATGAACCTTAAAGGCACCATGCTAAGCCAATCACAAAAGACAAAACCTGCATGAGTCCACTCATATGAAGTAGCTAAAGTAGTCAAACTTAGAGAAACGGAAAGTCGAATGGTGGTTGTCAGGGGCTGGAGGGAGGAGGAAACTAGGAGTTGTGTTCAATGGGTACAGAGTTTCAGTTTTGCAAGATGAAAAAGTTCTAGAGCTCTGCAGCACAACAATATGAATGCACTTAACACTACACTTAAAAATGGTTAAGGAGGTAAATTTTCTATTAGTGTTTTTGATCATAATTTTAAGAAAAGGAGAGGGGAGAGGCTAAATAGCACTAGAGCATGCAGGAGAGAAGTTTGAGAAAAGAAAGCCAGGCAGGACAATGGGGGCTGCATTCTGAGCAGTAACCTTGAATGTCAAGGGCAGAGACACACCCAAATGATGCCTCCAGGCTCCTACTGCACTTCACCTTCAACCTGTTTCAGATCCAACTGAGAATGAGGCCTCCAAGATGCTGGAGACTGAATGGACCTTTTTTAAAGTCTCAAGACTATACTGGCAAGAAATCATTATGGTACCTTAAAGATATCCTGAACAGGGGACACAGTTATTTCCTCAAATCTTTACCTAGCAGTAGCAAGAGCAATAATGCTCAGTGGGTGAGAGGTTCTCCCACACTGAGCTAGCTGTGGCCTGGACCGTGTGCTCCTGCAAAGGAAATCTTAGTTCCCACCTTGGCAGGAAGTATAAGGAGCCTTGAGGGCTCAAGTGGAGTTAGAAAGGGGAAGAAGAGACAAACCTTATATGCTCCACACACAATTTGTTAGAACATTTCCTCTGCCCTTCTCTTTTTCATGTATTAAAATTTTAAGAATCATAGATCTATTCTTTATATGCTAGCTAACGGAATTCAAGTGCTTAGTCTTGACAATACTCAGAAAAGAGGGGACTGTTCCATCTTCCTCTCAGCAGCATAAGCTAGACCCCTTGCTCACCATCCATCATCTCTGACGGTGGTGAACGGAGAGCGTTCACAGAAGTACCCGTGAGAATCTCCTTCCCAACAGGGAGACTTCCATTATACAGCCTGTTCTGTTTTCTGTTTAACAAAGCAGTCACTGAAAACACCTGGATTTCAGAGAATGTTACTATATATTTAAGATGCAGCCCTGAATCCCCAGAAGACTGCAATTTGATTGGCTCTCTTAATAATTCATATAATTTTTATACAAAAACTGTTTATTTAAATCTTATTACCACGTTAAACCAGAAGAGGAGCTCGGGCACTTTCTTCTCCCCCTAGACCTGAAAGCTAATAAAACCCACAATACCCTGGAATTCCTTATCCAAACAAAAGGTCTGAAAGCCTGTGTCTCATTTAAATGAACCGAGGCTAGTGAGTGAGGACAGCCACAGGCGCCGCAGGCAGCAGATTCAGTGTCCAGCAGTGGGCACTGTTAGAGGCCAGGAGACTACAGTGAGAAATGGAAGCACTAAAATCCCCTGGAGACATGGGAGTTCCCACCCCTCTACTATTAACTTGGGGGGTCACTTGTCTCTTTCTAGGCAGATCTCAGTTTCTTCCTGTTCTGATCTCACTGCTGGAATCTGTGTCCACTGTGAGTGTTAATAGCTCTGTACAATTCCAATCGTCCCGAACTGGTTACAAGAGGAAGCCTTTGTCTTTGAGGTTTCAACGTTTACTTTCCTTGTACACCACAATGTTCTACAGAGACAAGCACAGCTCAACAAGATTTTAACCCTAGGCCCCTCTGGACTACTTCGTTGTGGAAGGGACGGCAGGGTGCGGTGGGGGCTGTCAGGTATTTACCAGTGTTTTCCATAGAGCCAGTGGCCTCCCCAGGTCAGCAGGCAGAGCCCAGCTGTAGTTTTCTTCCAGTGATTTCGAAGTGTTTTAAAGAACACAGTCATCTTCTCTTAGGGATTTGCTAGGTTAGCAGAGGCAGAAAAAGCAAAGAAAAATATAATTATTCAAGGGAATCGTGGAGAGAGTCCCTATGACTCTGTCTTATCGTCTTTCCTCCTCTCCATGTTTTCCTTCCTCACACCTTTTCTTCATTACCGCTTCTCCGGCCTCTCCCCACCTCTCCCTCCTGCTTACATCATCTTCATCTTCCCACTTGCCCACCGACCTTTTTTGTCTTCACTTCTTTCCACCTAAACTACACTTTCTCTTCTCTCATCATTTTTCTTCATCATATTAGAAGGAAGGGGGACGAGGAGGAAAAGAGAAAGGGAATTCTACACTACCTATCTTTCCTTTCTCCTTACAGTCACGATACCACTGTCTGAGAATCTGCTTATCAGTTATATATAAAATATATATCATCAAATCAGTAATCCAATTAGTAATATAAAGGGATTATTCAAAACAGAAGAAAACATGAGGCCCTCAATAGAAGAGAATATTCACAGAAAACTCAACGAAGAGGGAATACCTTAGCAGATACAAACTACTATATATAAAATAAACAACAAGGTCCTACTGTATCGCACGGGAACTACATTCAATTTTTTGTAATAACTTATAATGGAAAAGAATATGGAAAAGTATATATATATATACATAACTGAATCACTATGCTGAACACCAGAAAGTAACACAACATGGTGAGTCAACTATACTTCAATGTAAATAAATAGAGGAGATGCAGGTAGCTCTGTAAAAATGTTCAGCTTCCTGAGTAACCAAAGACATGCAAATTACAAAGAACTATCACCCTTCATCTATAAAATCAACAAAATTTTTTAATGATCACATTCACAGAAGACCAAATAAAATGAGATGGACATTCACACACTCCTATAAGGAAGGTAAATTGGCATAACTTTACTCAAAAACAAAAGTGACCATATATACTGTTTCTGTTTATTTTTCTTCATAGCATTTATTTCACCATTTGATGATCCTTAGGTGCTAATTTGTTTATTAACTTATCCCACTGGAATGTAAATTCCATGAGGAAAAGGACTTTGTTCTGGTCATTGCTGTATCCCTGTGTTTAAAATAAGATCTGGCTCATAATAGCCATTCGGTAAGTGACTATTGACTGTAATGCGGTTCAGGACATGCTACCCCAAAACACAGCACCTCAGCATAGTGACTGTTTTAAGCTGAAGGAGTTTGGGAAAACAGCAGACACAGGAAGGTCACTCTGTCCACCTCCCCACCTCGCCCTTCTTCCCTGAAACAGATCAAAAGCCTCTTGTGAGAGGGGCCTGCCCTATACGCAGAGGGAAAGATCAGCCCATCTCCAAAGACAAAGGGAAAAATCCTAGTACACAGGCCTCACTAAATTCCCCATTTCTTACAATTACCTCCCGTTCTTTACTCTAACACACTCCTGCACCACCATCCACTCTTCATCAAACCCAGCATAAAATACTCAGGTCTGTTTCCTTGGAGCTTCCTTGTTTTATGACGTTTCCCGTGTCACAAAAAACTTACATTAAATAAACTTGTATGCTTTCCTCCTGTTCATTGGTCTTTGTGCGTTTAATTTCCAGACCCAGCTAGAGACCTTAAGAGGGTCAAGGAAAACTTACCCCATCCTGTACATTAAATTTTTTTTCACTAAGAATTTTTGCTGATGCAGAAAAACTAAAAATATACTGTTAAGCCAAATGAGCAAGGTTTAAAAAGCCAAGAATATAAATCAAAAAAAAAAACCCAACAGAAATAACAAAAAATTTTAAGTAGTTCCCTCCTGATTATGGATAATGGGTGACATTTATGATTTGCAATGTAGTTTTCTAAATTTTCAAAATAAATGTATTTTCTACACAGATACATACAACAGAAAATTTTTATAACTATGTATATATGAAGTAAACAGACCAAGAAAAACAAAGAAGTTGCTTTCACTGAAGATTCTAGTTCTTTTATTACTCCTTTTAACCACAAAGACTGTCTTCCTGACCTAAGTTTCATCAGGCTCCTCTGGGCTCTGCTGGACTAGGCCCAACCTTGGGCTCCCTCCTCGGTCCTTGTAGAATCCAGTTTGAGCAAGAATCCTGCTAGGTTAGTTTAGTGAAAATCCCCCGCCCTTGGTATCTGACCACCCTGGGTATCTTATCACTCTGGTCTGTCTTCAGCAAGAATTCTGAGTTAGCCTAACAAGAATCCCCCTCACCCCTGATATTTCCTCTCCGAAAATTTCCATCCACTGACGCCCACCCTGCTCCTTGACTACAAAACCCCTCTTGTCCTCGTTGGAATCAGAGTTCCAATTGCCTTCCCCGACTTTAAGACCACCTATAGTGGTCACTACATCCACCCAGATGCCTCTCCCCACCCATGAATACAGTCGGCCTTAGCATTCTTTAACAAGCGTCACTACATAATTTTTTCTTTAAAATCATCATTGGTTAAAACTCCTCTAAGGGCGAGAAACATCCTTATCACCAGCAACAATGAAGCCAGTGCCAGGGAGCCCACCTTCCTATGAATCAGGGTCACAGTCCAGGATGGCACACAGAGGAACCCAAAGGCACATGTGATAATCAGACGCCTCTCCATCTGGCACTAAAGCACTCGTTCATTCAACAGTTCTTTAATAAACACCTACATGCTAGGCTCTGAGCTGGGTGCTAGGCAGAGAAGTACAAGTCTCTATTCTCAAGTGCTCACAACAGTTAAACCCACAGTTACAATACAATGACACAATTTACGATTGCAATACAGTGGGAAGACTGTTGAGGGGTAAGTCATGGCTCTGTGAGAAGCCACAAGAATGACCTAATGTAGACTGGAGATGACACGGTGGTCCATGGTGGGGGAAGTTGTCCCAGAAGGCATGACATTTATACTGGGTCTTAAAAGAGGAGGAGTTTCCCAATGAAAAGCTGAAGAGACTGAAGGGCACAAAGGCCTAAGAGATAGCAAGGTATGTTCAGGGAAATATAGGTGGGTAGCCAGGTACAAAGAGCCAAGTAAATATGGAAGAGTATCTAGAACAAGGCCTCTCAAACTCTAGTGTAAAACTGGTTAAAACGCAGAGAATTTGTTTACAATGCAGATTCTTGGGCATTACCCCTGAGATTCTGAGTTGTTCTAATTGGGTTGTCATTTTATCTTTAACGAGTACTCTCATGCTTCCAATGGAGGTCAGCACCACACTTGGAAAACAGTGGTTAAAAGGGAGGAGATGGTGGGGGAGGTCCAGGAAAGATCAGGAAGGACCTTGAATCCGCGCTAAAGACTTTGGATGTTACATTGAATATGATGAAAAACCTTGAATGGATTTAAGCAAGTGAGTGATAGGATCACATCTGGACTGTAGAAAAGATCACTGTGTAGCAGAATGGAAAATGGGTTGGAAGAAGCTGAGCTTAAAGCTATAGAGAGCCAGTAGGAAGTTACTACCATAATCTCTAGGCACATAAATGAAGGAAGGAGCAACACAGATAGAGGATGGATTTGGGAGATCGTTAGAAAATAGAATTTGGCAGCAATTGATTGTAGAAGGTGAGAGAAGAGGAACCAAGCCAGGTTTGGACTTGGGCAACTTACTGAATAATGATCTCAATCATTAGATTTGGAGTGTAGGTTTGTGAAGAAAGGTGTTGTGTGTGCTGTAGGAGATACAAAGTCTGAGACACCTTGCGGGGCATCCAAGTGGAAACGACCAGTGGACGTCTGGACTTGGCAGTCTGAAGCCAGGGGAAATTGTCTTGATAGAAGATGTAGATTTGAGACTCATTAGTGTGAAGGAGGTCAAGTTGGAGTGCAGATAAAACATCCAAGGCAAGGAAAGAAGTGAGAGAACAATGTAAGAGTCAATCACAGTCTGTTTTAAGGTCATCCACGATCAACTGGAATTCCTTTCGTCACAAATGAGTGGGTCCGTGTATTATAAAACATGGAAACGCACACACAACCTAGTGTAATGGAAACAGCACTGGGCCAAGGGTCTTGAGGCCTAGATTCTAGTCCTAGTTTTGTCGCTTACTGGCAGTGAGTGTGGTTAAGTCATTTAACCTGTCTCTCGTTTCCCATTAGAGGACACACCTGTTCTGATTAACTCATTTGGCTGTAAAGCTCACATCTGATAGTGTTGTGAATGCACTTTCCTCGTTAGCAAAATGAAGGTGCGCCACCTGCTCTGATTAACTTATTTGGCTGTAAAGTTCACAACTAAGGCGTGTTAATGCACTTTGTAAATTTTTCTGTATGTAAGTCGTCATCACAATATGCAATATATTAGCTACCTACGTATATGCCTTCTAAGTACCCAGCAGAATTCTTATTCCCCAGCATCAGTCAGAAATTAAATTTTATATGTTCAAAGAAACATCTCTCATCTGAAATGCGTGTTTCCCCCCAAGAACTCCCAAATTCTGATTTTATTCGACCCTCCTCACCAGACTTTGGTTCTGTTCATGCATCTCTAGCAAACGGAACCCAGGAAAGCACCTGGAATGAATGGACCAACCCATCAATCGATCAGAAACCATTCGCCCTATTTCGCAAATGAGTAAGCTGAATTCCCCACCACCACCACAAAAGAAGAGTAAGGGTCACACAGGTTAGTGACACCTCTGGAACCAGAACCAGGACAGCTGGCTCCCGCAGTGACGACAGGCATCCCGCCATCCGCACGGAGTCCTCCCCGCGCCGCTCCGCCGGGCCCTGCTCCCACCCTCCGCTGGCACCCGGGTCCCGACGGCGACCCCCGAGCC